CACTCCTGCCTTCCTCATACAATACGGTCAAACATGGACCAGTATCCTCGGACATGCAACTAAATTCAGCCTGATCGCTTAACTGAGGTAACCAGGCTCAGAGAGCAACCACCGAGTATGACAGCGTGACACATATTGATAATACGAGCAGACAGCTGAGGGAAAAACACATATTACACTTCTGCAACGCTGTATCAACCACTCACATCTGCTGTTAGTGACCAAACAAGAATAAGCTACAACTGACTTTATGCTTTAACTTCAGTGAGGAAAAATAAAGCTCTGTTTGGCTAACTAATGAATGTGCCATTCAGATACACCCCGGCTTATGCTGTAACTTCAACCTCATGACACAACTTTACAAGCTTATTCACCAAATACAAAAAGTTCAGACTACCCCCCACGCACCAACACAGTTGTTTAACAGGTATATCGAGTTAATATACAGTTATGCATAAGATGACATACTATTTTTGTTAGCGCTTACCTGCTGGAAGATTGCTTTAAGCTCACTTGGGTCCCCGCGTTTGGTAGATTGCACCTAAAACAGCACACACCAAAATAACGATGACATTTTCGAAAGTGCTTTTAAAACACCAACAAAGCAAAAGCAAGTTTTCCAAGCGGAGAGCTGGACATAGCAAGAAGCAAAGCGAACAAGAAAAAAAAAAACTTTAGGGGGTGATGTCTCCTTGAAAGCGTCCACTGCCGTGAAGGACAACCGACCCACTGCGCCAAATACATAAAAGCTAAGAACTGCGACGTGGCGTACATTTAAGTTGAGCCATGTAGGAAAGCCCACCAGCCAACAAGCCAAGCCCTTCTACAAAAATCAAAACTACCGTTATCCGGTAGCCAGCTAGCAAGCACACTCTACTGATGTGAAAAGGACACAAGCAGTTTCATTGTTATAGTTTAAAACGAGCAACAAGATGAGAGCAAACTAAGAGTTGACTGCTGTGAAAAGATGGGAGTTCAGCTAGCGGTAGTGATTTTGTTTAATCACTGCAGTAATAGTAGTCCGATAGCTGTATAGCATTGCTTCGCTAATTCCGGGCTTCGTGGATGTCCCGTCAAGGCCAGCCTCCGCTGTGCGGCAGCTAGCAGGGATGCTACAGCGTCGGTATACACCGAGCCCGAGACAGCCAACCCGGAAGGGAGCAGAAAGGCTGGCTTCGATAGGTCCTACACAAGAAAACGAACAGAAAACATGCAAACACGGCAAAGTAGAGGTTTGAAAAACGCTAGGAGAGCGATCCACAAGTCACCTTGACCGCCATGCTGGTTTGACGTCAGTACAGTGAGCGAGCAAGACGCAGCGCTCGCGCTCAGACGTGTGGCTACAAGTGTCGGAAAATGAAACGAAACAGCGCGCGCTTTGAAAAAAAGAAGGTGCGGCCGGCCGGTTTAGCTATCAACCTGTGCCAGCTCTGAGACTCTTGTTACTGCGGTTAGTAAAAGTACTACACTACTGCGACTATCCCACTGCTCATACTACAAATACCACAGCAGCTTGTAATACTGTCACTTTAGTTGTTGATGACACCCCGAGCTACACATTGTTGGAACAGATCAATAAAGAATGTTCATTATAAAAACAACAACAAAGACCTGTGGGTTTGAATTCTGCTCTAAAATATCTATGAATTCAACTTTATTTCGATGTCCTGTAGATGACGTAGCAATTATTTATTTTCATGCTTAAAAACCAAAAAACACACTTTATTTTACTTTTTGTTTGTTTAAAAATAGATAAGAGTTTATCTCCCTGACCTTGGTGAGGTGTCCTTATGAGAGATATGAGCAGTGTTTGTTTTCACTGATAAGGCAGCTACCTACTACAGTATCTCCACTAGCAGTCCTATTATGGCATGTTATCTGTCTGTGCTATGATAATTGTAGAAATGTCATCTGCAGGGTCTTAAATACTGTAGAGGTGTTAACTAGAGTACTGTACGTTTAACCCTATTGTTAAATGGCACAGCTACATTACAGAGTCAGACACTGAGTCTGTGGTTTGTATTATCAAAATCTACCTATTATCAACTTAAATCTTCATCTGGTAAAGAGGCGGCTTTTTTAGCAGAAGCCTCGAAAGCAGAAGATGTTAACACATCCATAACAGGCCAAACAGGTAGGCAAACCACAGGAAACATCAAAACTGCCATAGTCTGTCTGAAATGCAAATCCACAGTTACACAGGGAGAGGAGAGATTAAAAAAAAAAGAACTAGGAAAGATTGAGTTAAAGATTGAGGTAAACTACTAAGCTCACTCT